AAGCAACAGAAGCAACAAGAACAACAAGATCCACCAAGTAGTGCTGAATCCAAGACTGCTGAAGATTTGTCAGGTTTGGGTACCGTTCTGGAAGATCTTGTCGAAGAGGAGGAGGAAGAAGAAGAGGAAGAGGTTGCTAGCCCTGATGCCATCGAAACTGGAGTCCCTGCCACGGACACTTCCTCTACTGAAGCGCCTACTACTGCTGCTGCGGAAGTCAATGACAAAAACGAAGGTCTATCCAAAATGGAAATTCAACGCAAGCTGATAATCAAGGAACTGAGGGAAGTCTTTGGCAAGTTGATGATGATGGGGGAACATGTTGTAGAATCGATATCACTACGGGATCCGACCAAGGAAGAATTGAACAAGAGTAAACGAAAGAGTCTTGCTACTGTGGAGGATAGCCACAAGAAAATTGTCATGAAAGATCTTGCCATTCGAGTGTCTGGAATTTATCGAAACGATCATCATGTTGTTGAAGCCATGTCACCAGATGGTAGCAAAGTGGCAGTGCAAGTCCAACCTGATATTGCACAAGCCGCAACGTTGGCAACGATGGCATTAACAGAGGCACTGGAAAATGTCGACGATGAAGGAAAGGAAGAAGAAATTGGCCAAACAGACATGGAGGAAACTCCAACTTTGTCACTTCAACAGCAACAACAAGAACAGCAATCAAAGGACTCATTGCCCCCTACCCTGACTACTTTGAAGCCGTTACTCATGAAGGATCTTCCAAGGGCAAATTTCAGTTTTACTTCAGCTGCCAAGAACATGTCTCATGACAATCACGGTTCAGATGATGACATTTCCGTCTTATCCAAAGTCACGATGCCCAGTGTATGTCTTGGACAAACAGATGCAAGATGGAAAGAAACTTCCTCAGTGGAAGCCTCGATCCACCCGCCAGATCTACGTTGGAATGAGCAAGAGACATGCATCATCAGTTCCACTTTGTTTGAATCCCAACACAGGAGCCATCACCACACAATTTCATATTGTATTTGACCCTACCTTCTCAACCGCGGCAACAAATGTTGATGACCTACCTGATTTTGGTTCGGAAGCCTGGTCCAAACTCTTTGGAGACTCCGTCTACCAATATGTTCTGGATGATCCCGAGGACCCCTTGCGTCCACCTGATCCCACCAACAATCCTCCTCCACCTTTAACACCTACCAAGCCACAAGTCGATTCCTCTGGAGCTACCATACCTTCGATCCAGAGGGAGACAGTCATCGAGAATCCGCCAGCTGTTTCCCCTGTTCAGCCGCCTCCTTCTCAGAGGGAGAATGTGACCCCTTTTCCTACTACCCCTACGAATCAGCCGAAGCCTTCACCTCCGCCGCAGCCAACTCCTCCACCGGTTCGCACACCGCAGCCAACAGCACCACCTTGCAAACCTGCACCTCAGCCATCAGCCACACGCACCTCTTGCAGATCCAACAAAGCCCAAACTCCTAAACTCTTTGGGTATGATGGACATGGGCCTGCAGGATACACCGCACCCCTAAAATCGCAAAGTCCAGAGACCAACAACTTCTACACTTACTTTTCAGCATACTTCAATCATTCAAACATTGAACTGGAACACTCCCATGACTGCAGCTTCATTCCAAGCTCGTACAAAGCAAGAGCGACCAAGGACCCAGATGTTTTCACTTACAATCAAGCGGTCAACGGTCCCAACAGCAAAAAGTGGTGTGAAGCTGCAAGGAAAGAAATTGAAGAACTTGAAGGAAAATTCACCTGGATTGAAGCATGTGCTTATCCATCAGTGCAGCTTCGTAGTGTTGGGTGAGTGTACAGGGTAAAATTGGACCATCTAGATATCAATATTCTAACTTTTGCTTCACATCACCATTCGTATGATATAGAGGTGCAATTACAACATAGGTATTGCTTCAGACAGGGCTCACACATTTGGTGACAAAAGCGGACTCGTAAGTGACTGACCTGTCTTTTCTGTTTCTTTGGTCTCGTTGTATTGTCGAATCTAAACATGGGCCTGCTTTTGATGATTGATTTGTGTCCAGATGGGTTTCTCCTATAAGTACACTGACATCCCATACATGTGTTTCAAGTAAGTGAATGGTTTGTTTGATGCTGTTGATCAACTTGCCATGAATAGCATTATTCTAATGTATCCAAATTTTCCGCTCCTCATTTCTAGTGCGGCAAAAAGTTGGCAACTTGGATGGTACACTTCCAAAGCTGATTCCATTACTCCTTCTTCAAGTAGCGCCACGTACTCCATAAAACGTGCGGGTATTGTTGAGTACGATACCACAGCGAACAAGGTTCTAATTCAAATTCGGCAGACTTCCAGTACGACATTTTACAACATCAATTACAATCATGCAACAGGACTCAGTGAAGGGACCCAGGAAGGAGCCAACAGAGTTTTGGTCGTATCGAAAGATGAAGCTGTTGATAGCAACGCATCCATGGCACAAGCGAATCTATCTTCTGGAAATTCATTCGCTATAAGCAATTTCAATGGCAAAAGCGGAGAGACTCTGACCATTTCGTTTACTTTGTTGGAGAACAATGAAGCCAACGTGGACATTGTGTTGACAGGATTTCAAGAAACTAGTCCAACGGCAAGTATCACCCCAAGTCCGGCCCCAAGCAAGGCTCCAAACAAGATTCTAAGCAGGGCTCCGAGTCCCAGCAAGGCTCCAAGCAAGACTCCAACCAGGGCTCCAAGTAATGCTCCAATTAATGCTCCAAGTAGCATGCTTCCAAGTCATGTTCCAAGCATCCAGCCTTCTGCAAAGATCGTTGCCTCTGACAGTATCCAACCATCCTCAACTGCAAGTGCCAGTGAAAAAACATCAAGCAGCAGGGCGCTTTTGACTCCAGCATCGGGAAACACGTCACTTTCACCATCAAGTTCACCGAGTCTTGGCTCAAGCAAGACTCCAAGCATCCTTCGAAGGAAAGCTCCAAGTACCGTTCCAAGTACCGTTCCCAGCGACCGGCCTTCCACAAAGATTTTTACTTCTGTCAGTATTCAGCCATCATCCGATCCAAGTGCAAGCGTCATGCCAAGCCATA